TCGCAAGCTGAGAAAGATAAGTTTTCCGTCATATGAGAACTTGGTCGTGTAAACGTAATATGGTCTTAGCCGTGGAGCAGTGCGATGCATCACATTCTCCTTTCTCCCAAACGTTAGCCATGTATCGCGTGGCTATGGGCTGTGCCTTCCCTCTCTCTCTCTGTCTTTCATGTACACACACATATTTCCTTCATTCATTGATATAAAGGTTGGTGAGAATGCCCGCGCGTTAATTGATGATTGAACGGCGTCACGACTGCACCTTATGAATTACTAATTCAACGCGCTCATTTTAACTTTGAAAAAATTTCTAACATTCATGAGCCTTGGACTTTATAAATTAGCAGTCGGATTATACATTGCTGATTATAAGTGCCATTGCACTAAATGTAATTTATTTGGTCTTGAAAATTTTTTGAAGTTAATGAAAAATATAGTTAGTTTGATATGTGTTAGAAGCGTGAACGCATGAAAGGACATAACCACGCGCGCGAGTATGTGATCGTAGTTGCGCGCGAGCATAAACACCTTGCACGAAAATTTTCTAAGTCCACAACCGGATGACCTCATCCTCTCGCTGCGAGACCTCAGAATTAAATAACTCTGCGTGCAGCTCCCCATCCTGAAGTAGCCTTTGACTTTCTACGCATTGATTGATATATAGGAACTTAGTCGCGCCCGAACATATTAGGACTTAGTTAAATGCAAGCATATTCGAGACTTATGATAAATTACAAGTATCAATACCCTCACTTAACTTTGATAATTTTTTGAAAAGTTAAATTTTTCACATTTGTTTCAAAATTTTTTTCCATCACTTTTTTCTTAGAATTTAAAATACTATTAAACATTGAAACTTAAGGAAAAGAAGAATTGAAAAAATCAATATCATACATGTGTATAGTAACGAATGCTCGCGTTTGAAATTACAAGTGTCAATACTCTCACTTTACTTTGATAAATTTTTAAAAATTTAAATTTTTCACATTTGTTGCATTGAAAAAATTTTTTTCAAAATTTTTTTCAATTCTATACATGTGTATAGTAACCAATGCTCGCGTTTACGTTTAGCTGATCTATAGTCGTAATAATTTGAAACGTCGCGCCGTAGCTCGTGTTATAATACAAATTTCCAAAACAAAAACACACCTACTTTATCTCGTTTTTAGTTCATAGTTCGATTTGAAAGAAAGAAAATTCTCAGTCAGTGTAAAGCAGTGGTGCTGTTCAAACATATGTGAATTTTTGAAAGTGAAAAAATGTCGCGTTACTCGAGGCGTTATTTCATTCATGAAATTTGTTCAAATGAAAATTGTGATCGTGCAAATGAACATTTGATTGATCCACGACTTCAACAATTAGAGTTATCACCGTTACATATCTCTGTTGTAAGTTTGTTAGTTTTCATGCATTGATATTTTTTTATTTATATTTTTCAAAAGTAGTTTTAACAGTAGTTTTAATGATTGTTTTATTATTTTAGCCACTTCATTTTTATGAACAAAAAAGCCAAGAAATTGGAACGCAAACAGATGTAGAAGATTGTGAAAAATCTGTGACTTCGAAAGAAAGCGTCACTATCGAAGTCATCGTTCCTGATGCTGTAAGTATAAAAAAAATTTTAACTTCGCAATGGAAACTGTAATTTTCAAGTTAAATTAATTTTGTTTCTAATGATTTATTATTCTGATTGCAGGAGGATTTTAAAAAATCGTGCATTGAAGAAAAAAATAAAGAGTCGTCAACTCATCCTGTTTCAATGGTAAATTTTTTTAAAAAAAATTTTAACGTCGGAATAGAAACTATGAATTTTTTTAAGTTAAAATAAATTTTTTTAATTATAGACACTTTTGGATATTGGCAATGTCACAGATTCTGAAAAGGTACGAGTATGTTGAAACATTATTTTATTTTATAAAAAAATTATTTGCAAAACGACTTATTATTCTGATTGTAGGAGTATTTTGAAAAAATGTACATGGAAGAAAAAAGTAAAGTGTCTGTAACTGGATATTATCCCGTATCAATGGTAAGTTTTTTTTTCAAAATCATATTTTATTGAAAAAATTATTTGCACGCTCATTTATTATCATAAATTTTTCAGAATCCATCCAACAGCAAAAATTCAACGAAAAATGATATGAATGAAAAAAATTAAGAAAATATCTTACAATCACTTTGCAAGGCTAGGAGTCAATGCTAGCCTGTGCAAAAATCAGCGTATTTCTACACCGATTTTCCCGCCTATTTTCGCAGGACAACCCTCTTCGAGTTGTTTACGTAATTATGTGAAATCATTTTTTCTAATTTACAAGAGAATAGACTGTAATAACGAAATTTTAAAACATGTAAAATTTACAGAAGTAGATATAGATCATTCAAGTATAATTTACAATTATCGCAAAAAGTATAGTTAAAGTTATTAACTAATAAAATTAGTTAATGTGATAACGCAGTATATACAATAAAATAATGATAAAATTTTACATATATCAATAGTTTATCACTAGTAGAGGTAATTCTTAAAAGAATTACTTAAATTAGTTAATAACATTTGAATTATAATCAATTTTCGTATTTGTAACGGTTTTTTGTAAAATGTTATAATGCAAATAATAAATCAGTTAATTAAGATTAATAAATTATAAAAATGTCGTTGTTATGTACAAAATTAACGCTTTCGATTTGTATAAAATTATATATTATAATAAACTATTCATTGTTTATTTATTGATAACAGTAATAACTAAGCTGTTATCAATGAAACGAATTCTTACTCATGTTTCTTAAATAATTATCTCGAATTTAGAGTATCCGCTTTATTACAATAATTAATATTTACAATGTAATAAACAAATTAACTTTGCACATTAAAATTCAATATAATTTAGTAGTTAAAAGCAATTAAAATTGTTATAATCTAAACCTATGCCCTAAAATATATATAAAAAATGCTTTGTTTCATTGAAATTACTTTTAATTAACGTATTTTAATTAAACAACAAGAACTATTATATTTATATCTAAATGTAGGTGACGTCACACTCCTTATATAGTCATGAAATTTCGAGGCCGAGGAGCTAGAGATTATGTTGAAAAATAAAAAAATATCTACCAAAAAATATGTCGTAGTAAGACCAAAGTAGCGTGGTCAATAATTGTCGGTAAACCACCACGTTACAAGCTAAGTATGAATTTGTGCTTTGTGAAAGGGACTATTTGTTTCCGTTGATTTCAGGACAAAATTTGATTTATTTTCAACCTATGTGTCCAATTTTCTGAGCCATAGTTTGAGGTCAAGTATTTAACTAGAGTAAAGTAAACTTAAAGAAATTTTTATATCCAAAGGCTTTCTTGTTCAATACATTGTTTAGCCCGTTTAAGGCGCTTCGTGTGTAAACCGAAAAAAAGCACCTGAGATACGTCTGCCTAAGCTGTTCCTAAGAGCTACCCGGGCGTAGCATATGCATGAAAATAAAAAATTAATTAATTAATTAATTGTAACTTTTTCAGCACTATACACCTAATATCTCAGTGATCTTAATAAAGAGAACTCGAAGGTTAATAATTAACTCGAAGGTTAAATATTAACGCCTATTTGAGTAAAGTAATTGAAATTATAAAGCAAAAAGTTCAAGATTTAAGGGACATACCAAAAAGCACTTCAGAAGAAAATAAATATAACATAGTTCGAATAAAGCAGAAATTTAAAAGAGCCATTAATTGTATTGATCATCATGATGAATCAATATTTTCTTAAAGATTGCATTAACCTTTTGGACATTTTAACTATATATATTTAAGAAAAATAATAAATCATTTCTACAAAATTTAAGCATATTGTTTCATACATAAGTCCATCATTGTATTTCTTGACATATTTTCATACATATGAATCAAAAAATATTTCAATATAAAATTTCTTTTACTCATATAGTTGGCAAGTTTTTACGTAAGTTCTTGCGTAAGTTCTTACGTAAGAATTTATCATATATGGTAATTTGTAAATCGAAAAAAGCTGCAAGATCTTGTACAAGAACTTTCGTAAGTTCTCCCAGTAGTTCGTGCGCAAGTTCTTATAGAAGTTCTTACTTAAGAATTTACCAACTAATTTTCAAAAAGGTGAGAATAAAGATAAGTTTATCCAAATTATTAATTGATTTCAATACCTAATCAATTCGCATACCTCTATTTTCTTTACTTTCAGCGGTCGAGTTCAACTCCGAATTACGACATTCGATTATAGTTGGGTATGAGAAAGAATTTTCCGCTAATTGTAGAGCGGGAAAATTGAGCCATTTGTCAAATGATCATGAGTAAATCCGAGTTACAAGAAAAGTCAATTAATTCGTGAGTTCACATTAATCCATACCGTAACCCAATCCAGGATGAGCGACTCCGAGACCAGGATCAGGTTTTCGATTTCTGATTCAAATCTCCGACGATCGTCGTTATCAAGAGTACGGTCATCTGACGCCCGCTCGTTAGATCAAGTCGGGTAGACAAGTCAGTGTATGCCCAAAAGCTAGGTTGGAGATGAAGCCCTCTTAATTTGCCTATTATAACATTAAGAATATTCTTATAAAAATAATATCTTTCAAGAAAAAGATCAATGATTATGCAAATGTGAGAAACTTTTCGTTGCACTGTAATAAGTTGTATATTTTATTTCCATAATACAAAGAAATTTACATACTTCCCATACGTATGATGACCGCGGTTATACTATTTATAATCTACAGTAAAAAATGTCGCTGATGATGAAAAATATAAAGGATAAAGAAAACATCATAGAAGTCATTCAAAATATTTTTTAATGAAAAACCACTTTATATTTTCATACATTTTTTTTATAAATAAATTTAATTTTAGTGAATAAAAATATCTACTAATATTTTTAAGAATTAATCGAACAGTAGTTTAAATCATTTATCAAATAACAAATGCTAAAGCTTTTATAAATGGGTTCAAAAATCTATTTTGAAGAGAAATATCGGAATAATAAGTTGAAATTCTAGAAGAATACTTTTAATAACTTGTTATACGTTTTGAATTCTTGGTAATAAGGTAAGAATCTTTGAAAATAATAGAATATACATAATTATTAACTAATAAACCTAAAAATTATATGCGATAAGTCACTAAGTAAATTTTAAGATTGTTAACATTTTTGTAATTACAAATATTAATAATTCCCTTAGAGATCTCATATAGTTTGCTTCGAAAGATCGATATTACAATAATATTCAACGGATTCTGTATATTATAAAATTATATAATTAAATAAATTTACTGAAGTTTTACGTATACCAATGGCTTCATTGTCTAATTAATCGTAATTACAAATTAAAGCTTTCAAGATTTAATATTTTAGTATAGTATTAAATATTAATTCCTCCAATACAGTGTAATTAACCTTATTTAATTTTGGTTTCTTGTTTTTATTGAATTGAAAGCTGCATAATAGCATCAAAGCATACTGCTTTTTCAATTTTCTTATTTTCTGGAGTCCGCCCAATTGATTGTTTCAAAATCGTCCTGAGCCTATAAAATCTTATGATCGCCATGGTTCTGTTTCATCATACATTCTTTGAATATTGTCTCTCAGCATTTGTTCTTGATCTGAAAAATAATAATAATAATCTAAAAATATTCAATCCATTATCGTATTTTAAGAATCTTATTAATTATTTTCATAGTAATCTTCCATTTCATTAATCGATCTGATGTCTACTTTTAGTACACTTTTAACATGGAATCGCAAAAACATTAGTAAGCAACTTATACTTTATTTAAAAACTAGCAAGATTATGGAATGATTATTTCATCTATCTAAAGATCTTTCCATCTCGAATCAATAGTTTTAATATTATAAAATGTGAATATTATTATTACTTTTTGATGAACATTCACATCGAAAAATCGCTTCGCTGAGGTGGCAATCTCTACTGATACCTTCAGCACTTTTTGCGTAATGTACTATAATTGCAACTCCACACCGCATTTAATATCATAAAATATTGAAAAATTTTGAGTTAAAAGCGCAATAATTAATTAGCAAATTCCTGGATAGAATTTTGACTATGATTCAGCTTAGATAGGTGGATGTTGACAAAAGTACAGACTAATTTTTCTGGATATCGGTATAATCGTGAAAAATTTTTAATATATAATCTATTATTTATTTATAACATGTTATATTTATTTTACAAGTAAAATAATTATTTAAAAATGGTGGTTTTATTGACCTTTTTGTAGATAATTCATTAAACAATAACTTTTGTCTAGAACTTTTCTGGATAAAATTATTATTTTTCGGCGCTCCATGTATGTGAATTTTACTTTACGCACGCTTGAGAAATAGAGCATGCTTAAAATTTCATTGAACACATGTTTTTTTTTTTTTTTTTTTATTTAAAGCCGTTTAGATCTTACATAAGGTCTATTAAGGCTACAGTTTGCTATCACAATATAATGCGCAATTCAATGTAATAAACAATGTTTTTCAGATTTTACTGTCAGGGCATACATAGTTCAAACTTTTAAATTGCATTCTTGAAGAAATTTATGTATGTTTTTACAAGCTATTATATTTGGTTCCGCTATGAGTGACTCAATATTGTATGGAGCATAGAGTTTCATTCTTTGTAAATTTCTTACTAGCTTGTGTCTTTGTTTAGTATACAATTCGCATTGAAATATTACATGATTCAAATTTTCATCATAGTCATCGCTACATTTACATTTGGGATCATTAATAAGTTTTAGTCGCGCTAAAGAAGCTGCTAGATGGTAATGATTGGATCTCATACGATTTATAGAGACGATGAATTCTCTACTGAATTTACAATTATTGAACCAGATTTGTTGTTTATTGTGATAATAATTTTGGAAATATATTCTGCCCGTATCATGGGCTGGATTGTTAAGGAATTCATGGTTATTGTTATACATTTTCTTTTTAAAGTTTTCACGTAAATCAGTGTAAGGTATGCTTTTAATATTGATATCTTCAGACATAGCAGCTTCTTTGGCACATCGATCGGCGTTCTCATTTCCTTGAATTCCGCAATGAGACGGTATCCAATAGAATTTGATGTTGTTAGTAGTGAATTGTACAAATTTTTCTCTAATTTTTAGAATATAATCATTGATTTTAACATTTATGTGCGTACTGGTTAAACTCTGTAGTGCACTGAGCGAGTCTGAAAAAATTAGGATGTCTCTATTTTTATTTTGTGCGGCAACATTTATCGCGTTTTCTAAAGCAATTGTTTCTGCCGTGTAGACTGAGGCGTTTTTGTTGATGCTTCGAGCTATTTGTAAATCAAGTTCCGGGCAGATACAAGCTGCCCCAGTAGATGGTGATACAGTTAGCTTATTACCATCAGTAAAAATTTGTAGTGCATCTATTTTGTCAAACGTATTTTTGAAAAGTTCATTAGAATTTTGCGATTTTTTCAGTCGTTGACCAATTTCAGTATTTACATATATTTCCGCAATACTAGATTTGTAGTCATAACGGTATAGATTGAATCTATCTTTTCTATCTATTATATCAATATCATTTGTAAGCGATTCTATGCAGGTAAATAGTAATTTTTTAGGTATAATTTTTTTCCTTTTGACAATTTTGAGGTATGTATCGATGTTTTTTAAAATCGGAGAATCAGTGTTTGACATAGCCTTAACCAAGTAACAATTGCATAAAAATCGAATTCTTTCTTTTAGTATTACAAATTTTGATTCTGCTGTTAATACTATTTTCGGCGTAGTTATTCGATATCCTAAGGATGATCTGATAGCAGTGTTTTGTATTTTTTCTAATTTAGTGTAGAACTCTTCCTTATCATAGCAATAAATATAACATCCGTACTCAATTATGGATCTTATGTAGCTTTTATACAAAGTGATTAGCGTCTCTGGACAAGATCCCCACCATGTGCCACACAAAAATTTAATTAAGTTTAAAGTTTTGAAGCATTTTTTGGTGACTATTTCTAAATGTGGCTTAAAACTCATTTTATAGTCAAAGTGAATGCCCAGAAAACGTACGGTATTGGTAGATTTTAGAGTGATATCCCTGAATGTGATTTCTGTGTTGCCAGGGAGAATCCCTGTGTTATTAAATATATCTAATAATAGAAGTTTGAATTTTAGAGTTAAATTTTTTAGAATATCAAAATCAATGCCGTCCATTCCAGGACTGGAATGGATATTTTACTTGCCAAGGCTATATTAAACTCTCTAAAACTATATGGTGCATCGAAAAATTCATTGTTATCATTATCTCCAGGTATGAAATTTGGGTCCGTTTGGGTCCATGGTGGGGCAATCTTGTCAAGAGCAGCTTGTACATTATCCCTAATTTGTATATTTTCAGAGGCTGTTTTTGATTTAAGTTTGACAAAACTGTTTTTAAGTATTTTACACTTATTCCAGACGAATTTAGGATCAGTCCTTATGTTTAAGCTAGCTGCAAAATTTTTAAAATATTCTTTTTTTTTAAATTTAAAGGTTTTTTTGGCTATTGCTATGCTTCTGTTATAATTTATCAGGTCATTGAGTTGACCTGTAAATTGCCATTTTTTAAGAGCAGCCTGGCGTAGTCGTTTCACTTTGCTACATTCTGAGTCCCACCACGGTACTGGGTTGGTTATCTTTTTCTGATTAATGATTTTTTTACGAATAGGTGTGGTATTTATAATAGCTTTAGTAATTACTTCGAAATAATGTACATATTTTTCATTAGGTGGTTATCTTTCATATTCAGGAGTCAAAAAATCATTATACAGTTCATCAAGTTCGGTTTGAAATCTAGCCCAGTCCGTTCTAACGGATTTGATTCGGAACGATTTTTTTGAATATTTTTCTTTATTAATGCTTATATTAATCGAAATTGGGTAATGGTCCGAACCAAGTGAATCATCGCTCATAGTAACTTCGACCATATGTGCTAGACATTGAGAAGTGAAAACGAGATCGATATTGGATTTAGTAGTATTATGCTTATTGAAATGAGAGTAAGTATCATTATTGTGCAAGTGTAAATCGCATTTTTCGGTGGAGTTTTCCAATCTCAGTCCGTTCTTATCTGTTGTGTTACAATTACAAATAGTGTTGTGTGCATTGAAATCACCAAGTAATATAGAATTTTCACGGTTATTTACATTATTTACAATTTCATCCCATTGGTTTTGGGTGAGTTTAGAACCAGGAGTTCTATAACATATTATAAATTCTATGCTAGGGTTAGTATTTTTTATCTTTATTCCGCACATTTCAACCGTTTGGTTCGGAGAACTAATATTTTGAATTTCGTAATACTCATAATCATTTCTAATAAAGATTATTATACCTCCCCCGCGAGTATTCTTGTCGATGTCAGGTCGGTCTCTTCTGTACGTGGAGAAACCAGGCAGATGTAAAATATCCTCTTCAATCAACCAAGATTCAACGCATATGAGTACGTCAAAATCGTTTTTCACAGCTGCAAGCTCCTCTTGTTTTGATTTAACACTTCGAGCATTCCAAAACATTGCTCTTAAAACCTTGTCAATTAATATTATTTCATTAGCCATTCTTAAGTCTCTTTTATGTATCAGAGTCACTTATTTCACTGCTATCTATTTCACTTTGTGTTAACAACGTGTTTTCATCAAAATTTGTTATACTCAATTTATTCTTTATTTTGGTAAGTTTTGTTTTGACGCTTGGAACTGTGATATACGGGTAAACAAGGGAGATTAGGTCTATAATCTTTTGTTTATTGTCAGAGATCTTTTGAACCTCACGATGTAAATTGTTTTTGCCAAAGGTATTTTTATAAAAATTAGCAAAATCTTCAAAGCTACAGGGCACGTCATGTCTAGCGGAGAACAAATCACTACACGGACTGAGTGCGTCATCAATCTTAGCCATCTTGTCTGCAGTCGTTTCATCGAGTTTTGTTTTTTTCTTATTATGTTTATTTAATTTGATTATCTTGGTCGTGTTTACTTGAGTTGTAGCAGAAGAGCTGCTAGAAGAAAGTGGCCTCTTGAACGCAGAAGTTACAGTATCCATTGGAGCAAGTGGCCTATTTTGTTTATTTTCAAGAATGGGAAATTCCTTTTCAGATGTATGTGTGTTTACTTAATTTGTTGTATGCTGCTCAGACATTGGACAGTTCAAAGCCTTTTTGCACTTGAAACAACGCATAGCATCAGGGCCAGCAAAGATGAAAAAGTCAATTCCTTCGTGCGTAAACTGTAGCATAGATGGAATTTTGGTTGCGTCATCAGCTCTGATGTATACCTGTCGTCTATGGCTTTCTACGTGCTCGTAACCAGACTCACTAATGCTCACTTTCATGCGAGTTACTACAGAGGTTCTGTTCACTTTAAGTTTGTCAAGTATTCTTTCCAGGTATCGGTTAGGAATAGCAGGCGAAACATTTGAGAAGATAATCCTTGTATTTGTAGAAACTAATGGTCTAATGTGAACATTTTTCCCTTTTATTTCCAATGACTGATTTTCACAAGTAAATTTTTCAACAAGATTTTTACTGGAAAGATGTATACATACTCGGTTTCTGGATATTTTAGAGGCACAGAGTACGTTTTCGGGTTTGACTATTGTACCGACTGCAACAGTATAATCATTAATTAATAGGTCATCGGCACATGACATAATTATAGCTTGTTCTCGCGTATAGCACTTTTCGTCTTGAGTTTTTTCTGCGAAACTGTCGTTTTCAAAGTCTTTGGAATTGAACTTGGGTATACTCAGCTGCGTTAGGATGCCTCCAGAAGGCAGATCGGCATCAAAAATGCACTCTGAAAGTTCAGAGGGCATCTCCGCCGATTGTTGAACCGCCATATTCACGGCCGTACTTAGCACGGCACACAACTATGTAAGGGCCGAAGCCCACACTCGATAAGCACACGATGTAAACACACGACGTATCAATATAATTGCGGAGCAAGTATAAACACGTCTGCTCTCTTCGAGTGCTCAAACGCGACCCTGAACACATGTTGTATAGAAAAATAAAGTTAGACATGTGCAAGAAAATGACTTCACCTTCGTGTAGCCTCGAAGGTGAAATCACTTTCTCACACTAGTATTCAAATGTATTAATTCTGCATAAAAGCCGGAAACAAGAATGGAAGTGTGATTTGAAGGTTAGAATACAAAAGAAAATATCAAAATTGAGCATTATATACCTGGAGTTAAATTAGCAATGAGGCATTGTTTCTTCAAAAATTCAAGGCAGAGATTCCTAGGTAATCCAAAAGCATGCATATTGCATGTAAATGTCCTGAAAGTACATATTGTATTAAAGAAGCTTGATTATATTACTATTTTTTATTTAAAAAATTTACACCACTTTTTATTATTATTCGTACCCTAATTGACCGAACACAATGTTTGCATGAAATCTCTTGTCTTCAGATGCAGTGATTTCTTTATCTGTCTGTTTAGGTCGTAGAGGCACTAATTTGGCAGCTCGTTCACATTGTACCGCATCGAAAAAAGCTGCAGTCCAAAAACGCATTGACGTCCATATTGGTTGAACTCGTAAATTCGTATACAAGTACTCACGATATGGTTCAACACCGGGCACTTCAACTGAGAAAAACAATTTTATTGAAACTTATAATTAATTCATTGAATTATCATTAATATTCATAAAAGTTGAAATAAAATATATTTATTTATGAACTACTTTTATTTGTATACTAATTTATTTTTATTTGAAATCGTTTTATTAATTAGCATAAACATTTGTTTCATTTTAGAATATATTTTAGTTGTGTTAAATTGTGTTTTTTTTTATTTCAAAAAAAAAAACAAAAATTTTTACCTTCATGATAAAAAGTAAAGCACATATTCATAAGACTTTTTGCTGGGGCAAAATCATCTGCTTCATGACATTCAAAAAGTGCCAAAGCAAAGTGTTGTGCAAGTGAATAAAATGATTCTTCTGTAACACAAGGACGAGCTCTCCTTGTGTTTACAACTCTTGTAAACCATATTCTTCCCGGTTCAGTCTATAATAATAAATGTTCAAGTGTATATTATCAATTGTTGACAAGCATTTGAAAAGTTATACTTACAAGGACCATTTGACCGAACGTGGCTTTTTGTTCTTGATTGATTTTACTAGGAGATTCAAATAGCATAGGCACAAACATTTTCATAAAATCTACAGCCGCTTCCTCTGATTGGCTATCTGCTGATAAACTAGAAGCCCAAGATTGAATTGATCCGGATGACCCTATTCATTTAAAAATTTGAATAAGATTGGTAAAATTACAAAAACTTTTTTTTCTACATTTATAATCTATTATTGATGGCATATATTGAATGTTTTATAAATTAATTTATAGTTTTGTTGCAGCGAAATGTTTGTGTTATAAATCATATGGTATCCTATTGAACTACCTACCAGATCTCTGCCATTCTTTTGCTGAGTCTAAGCTGATACTCGGCCCATAATCTGCATCACTAGTTGAACCACTACTCGATGGCATATCTAAAAAACATTTTATAAAATAAACAGAAATATTTTATTTTCTATTATTTATCTTATGAAATGTTTGGTGTGCGGACAATTGTCCACAGTAACATAGCGTAAGAATTGACACACGCTGATGTTCCCGTCATGTTATTGTACACTATAGTTCACGTATATAATAAAACCGTGCACAATTGTCCACACGCCAAATGTTTTACCAAGATTTTTACGCAAAGTATTTTCTGCAAGTCTAAAGAAATTTATCATGCAACAGACTATTTAATAGAAAAAATATTATGTTACTTCCTACCAGTGTATTCACATCAAACATTTAATAATGGAAAAACACGAAAAAAACAAGTATACTAGCCTTCTACAAACTCAAGTGAATAACTAACAGCTGCTATCGTCTACAAGTGTACATCATTCACTCTTTCTACATGCAAAACTTGAAGTAATATTTATCATGCATGCAAATTAACTTTTGTAGTTGTAGATAACTTTTCTTATCATGTTAGCTATTTTACTGTCGACTAGTTTGAATAGCATAGTCTACAACATTGTTCTTTTACATATATCCTAATGAAAAGAGTAAAACATGCATTGTGTCGAAACAAGTAAATAAGTAATTTTTATAATAATAATGATTAATTAAAATAGAAACAAATTATGATTATTTTTTTAAATACAACTTTATATATTTACTGTCAAGCTATGCCAAAATGAATCGAGATTGAATATTTAAATTATAATGCAGAAATCTTTTAAATAATTCTACTAAAAAATAAAAAGTGATAAATAAACGATTCAATTTTCTAACACTTATTGTATTTGTGTATTCGAATGTTTTTAAAGTAGCATCTGGATAGAAAAGTTCCACGAGAAAGTAATACTTGTTATATAGTAATAAAGGTATTTGTGAAAATAAAATTAACAAATATATTTGGAACAGTCATATTTTAATAAAAATCAAATTACCAACTAAACTTTAACCATGTACACAACATTTATAGCAGTGATTAAAACAATGTCTAGGATGTATTACCTAAACGAAAAACCACGGACTGATAACGGTTCGGAGCCCTTGCTTTTAAAAAGTAGAAAAAATATTATTAATTTTAATGCACAACATAAAATCAGATAAAAGTACTCAAGTCATAAATATATGATCATGGATAAGCTGAAGAAATCAAATAATAAAATTAAAACCTCCGTAAAAATGCATATAGCATTATTGCTTTTTGGTATTTACTGGAGAAAATCAATGCTCACCTACTTGAGAATTGTAGAGTCTATCAAAGGGATCGAGCTCAATAGTTTCAAACTGCCTTTCATTAACGGGTTTAGTGTTTCCATCGCTCTCTTTGTCAAGACTTGTGATTTCTTCAATCTTTTTTGGTTCAGACTTCTTAAACGAGGCTGATCTTGATGAGACTATCTCTTCATATGTCATACCTGGATATTTTCTGCTAATGCGAGAGCATCGAGCCATTTCTTGTTGATCAAATTTTCGTCTAATCATCGCGTCATAATCCTCGTACATAGTTCCATTACCGAACCTTTCCATATAATGTACAATGTTTTATAAGATTAAAAAAATTTTTTTTTATCGTTCTAATATTTGATTAAATCACATATAATTAAGTAAACTGAACAATGAATAAAACTATTATAACATAAAATTATTATATATAATAAATTAATCGAATAAATAAAAAAATTAATATTTATTTGAAGTATCTGTAGCAATTTTTAAGAAATAAAGTTATGAAAATAAAATTTCATAGTTCACATAAAGGGTAGATTATACATATACATATACACATATATATATATATATATATATATATATATATATATATATATATATATATATATATAAACTAATTAATCAAGGAAAAATATATCGGTAAGATAGCGGCCAACCTTGGAAATCGGAGTTTCCGCCTGGCGTCTACTTTATCGTTGGCTATAGGCGTTATATTGTTGATAGATGCTTTAGCTGGTTGCGTTTGCGAAGTCTGCGTCGAGGGCGAAGTCGGATCACTTTCTTCGATACTGCTACTGAGAGCCGTACCGATCCTGCTGCTCAGTCCTTGAAGATATTCACCTCCACCTCCTAAAACTGATCGCATCGAACGCAAGGCGCCTTTTGTGCGACCCATGAAACTACTGCTTTCAGCACTGGAAGGCGCCGCTGTTACGTCTACCATCCTATATTTTATATTCCAAGAGGATGTTTAAAAAAATCATTTTAAGTGATCTAAATATTTATACTTATTTATATCATATATCCGCATTTATATACCGAAACCGACATAACTACAAAAAGAATTATTACTTATTATTCAAATAACATTTATTTCTATTAATTGATATCATGAAAAAATGCTTATATAAATAAATTTCATTCCAGGTAGTCAATTAAGTTAAAATAAATTTACTAGAAATATAACGAATTTATCAAATTCGGAGCTGATATAGGAACTTTATAACAGTGTTAGCTTGTGAAACATTTACGAGTAAAAGTAAACCACTGATAAAAATCATGTTTTTAAAAATGAGCCTAAGAGTTAATTACCTGATATTTTGTAAATTTTAACCCTGTGAATTTTCAGAATGTTAAAACAAGATGGGTATTTGTTATTGATTAATAATATTCATTACAACTCAAACTAATTATTGCTAACTGCAATGAATAAATTTTTTCTTAACATCATCGTTCTTTAAAAAATAACATAAATATATCTATTATACTACTTATACTAGAACTATTCATTCATCTAAAAACTGTTAGTAAGCATTGAAGCAAAATTATAATAAAATTAGCGATACTTGCTACGTAAAATTGAAATACAAAACATTTTGATCAATAACCGCAATGCAGCCTTATATATAATTTCAAGAATATTGCTTATATCCGACTATTGAAAATAAAAAATTTTTTATACCAAGTATTATATATAGAACTATTGTATTTGATTTAGCCAAATGATAGCTTAGTCAAAAAATGAATATATAAAAAAAAATTATAACGTTATGATTTGAAATGCTGATATAACTTTTTCATTTTCTTATTTGCCGAAAAGTCAATGTTTGAAAATCTTATTGATGAACATTTTAATTTATTTTTGTAAAAAATTCTAAAAATGTATTTTACAATTTCTTTATATTTAAGAATAATAAATTTCAAGTTGAATTAATACATCTCCTTGATTAATTTAATTTTAAAAAAGAGAAAACAGATAAGAGTATAAACAATAAAGGAGAAACAGAAGAAGTCAAATAAATTAACAATAATATTGTATCAAGAGAATTGCCTACTTACTTGTTACTCAAAACTGTAATTTCGTATTATACAGTCACCATCACGGCACTAATTAAAATCCAAAACGACTATTAATGACATTAAAACAATCAACATCCTAAAAGTGATTATCATAAATGTACAACAAACCACAAAAAATAGATCATTCTAGATCTTTTAATAATACACGACAGATTGCATTTAACGCAATGAACTCATGGTTCTGTAACCTGCAGTTGCTAGTACACGTGACCTTCTCATTGCTCATGCGCTACTTTAAAATCAATAATATCCCACGCTACTTGCGACGTATACATCCGCAGTTTATGTAGAAGTACTTTATACTTGCTTGTAAAAAACAAAGAAATACCACTAATGATAACTTACCGACAGGAAATTATTTCAAATTATTCACATTTACTTAAATAGCGTAAAAAAATTTTTAAATTACATTTGATAGTGGCACCATTAAAGTTTCTCCTATTAAATCCGATTCGAGTACTATGTAACAGTATATTTCTTTGGTTGGCAAAGAAACTTAATACATCACCGCATGAGCGTTTTCATTAAAAGAGAGCAAAATTGAAAAGTCAACACGAAAATGAAAAAAATTTTAGCATTTATACAACCAATTGTTTTTGTAAATGGCATGTATTAAGAGATGTTGTTGATTTTAGTGGACAATTTTTTTAATAAATCGGTTTTCGATTTGAATTGGCGATATTTAAAAAGTTTCACTATAATCAATTAAAGGAAATCGTATGAAATATTACGAAAAAAGTTAGATTTCTAAAAGGCTAATTTGTTAGTTGTTGATATACATAGAATTATGGGTATATATTTAAATTGTTTTTATTTTATTGTACATTAAATGCAACACATGAAAAGTACATTGAGTGCCGACATAAGTTATATTTACAAATCTTCGCAACCAGATTGTGCTTTAAAATAAATCATTCAACTATATATAATATACACTCTGTGCCATTATTCAATAGTCTCTCTTTACAATGCATACATGTACATACACAAGAATTAATATCTGTTTACTTTGATCTATTACAAAGTTTTCCTACCTTGAACGCGCGTATATTTCAAACAGCTATTCTATGATAAGGAATACTGCAATGGAAAGATTTTTAATAAACAAGATAGTAATCTATACGTATGACGAGTATTTACTGTTGTAGTTAAAATGTGATATAAAAAAATTTATAAAAAAGTCGTCTGTGGATAAACAGCTACTCAATTGATGTTATTTTATCGTTTTCAAAATTTTAAACATATAATGTTAAAATATTAAATACATTTTGTAATTTAAAAATATATCATTACATAGTCGTCAATTTTTTCGATTAATTCTTTAAATGGTATAAAAAAGTATCCATTGTTGTATGAATATTGCTTGACAAATCTGATAATAACCATTTAAAAAAATAATAATTATTTATACAATAGAGGAAATTTTTAATAATAAATTATATTTCAACACGATTGCAGAAATAAATTAAATGCCATGCAAACAATATTTCACTGTAAAACCACGCACATGTATTACTGATAAATGAAAATAAAAGTCAAACGGTGCATTACTTTTGATTTTTTCTGCATCAGTGGCTATATATTAGTGTCTTAATAATATTACAAGACAGTACTGGAGACAAAGTTGACATCACATTTCCTTTCATGATATTTACAGAAATCAATCGTGGCTCGAATTGTATAAATATCTATTACACCATTTGGCCCCTTATCCGCTATACGAAGAAATGTTTAAAGTAGTTTCAAATGGTCTCTTCGTTTTTTGTTCATTACCACAAAAAATAAAAACATCTCAGTTATAAAATACGAGTGCTGATTTCTTAAAAAGTATTTGGTCATCATTATAGACGTATGCATCTAAAAGGTTTTACATTCTCTCTACATTCCATGAAAATTTACAATAAAACATTAATTTTCCTCTTTCAATAATTGTCAACTTTTTATGTTTTAATAGTGAAGGGCTCCATTTTCACACTTCTAGAGCAAAGTGTTATGGAATGTGGTTGCATTTACCATCAAATATTAACTAACTATTTTAATAATTTCTGAACTTCATTTATAAATCTTTATATTTCCAAAGTACATTAGTAATTTTGTAATTATTTTGAATGCATACAACTTTTATGATTTTATAATTATGTTGATAATAACTTAAAGTATCAATTTTTTTTTCTATTTTACTTAGAGTAAGGTAAAATATTAAAGATCAGTAATTACCTTACAATCTTTTAAGGTAAAGTCTAGTTACAGTTTAATTCCAGGTACTTTAAAAGCCAAAAGTGAAAAATGAGTATTTTATAATATTTACATGTATAGTAATAATTTTAATTTATCTTTAACTTTTTCAATAATTTGAAATCGTTGCAAGTAATTCTGAAAATAGGATGTTCAATAAATAATCGCTATTACTTTTTTGTAAAATAAAAATACGTATAATATAAATTTATGATAAAGTACATACAAATTTTTCATTTATATGATCAACAATAACATAAACATAATTTAAAATGAATCTATCGATATCATATATTATTTCAATAATTTTAATCAACTAGTCGCTAAATATCTGTTTAAATATAAACGTTAAATTAATTTTCTTAGAATATACATTGACTTTTACGAGACATTTCAATCGATTACTTGTTCGTCTCGACAATAGCTGTAAGACAGTTAAACGAATTTATACGGATTATTTGATTAAATGATATGATGAAAACAAATTAATATTTTCATAAAACAAAAATTGTAATAATAAAACAACCTAAGGCAGGTGTACCCAATATAGGACTACTATACGTATATTGCTGTAATTTACGATCAAAGATGCATTGGTTAACGTATGAGGGTCCATTCGATAGCTTATATAAGTAACTTCAAATGAATCATCGTACGGTTAATTTAATGATACTTAGCTCAAGTTAGGGAACTCCAAAACGACTTTCACTTTTCGGGAATGTACTTAATATAGAAATATTAGGGAAAAAGCGTTTTTACATATTTGAATCACGTGTAGAATATAAATGAGTAATAATATAAATATTTCGTAGATTTATAATACTATCAGTTAAACAATACTATACGGCAATGTGGTAATTATGAACCAAGATTGATTTTGAAAAATAAAACAAAAGCAAGTGTCTTAATTTTGATATTTGAAATAACTAACATTATTTTAGTTAATTACCAATTTTGTTCTCTGATTATAAATAGAAATTAAAAATTGAAATATGAAGCAATATTATTGTTGCTTATTCATAATTCAATATTAATGTTCTACATAATCCCTTAATAGGTTTATACGACGGTAAAAATAATTAGGACAACATGTGGCCTAATTACACGTTAGAAAATTTCTGATGAGTGTGTTTGAAAGAGTAAAAATTGTTAATAGTGTTGAATAGTCTATTGAAGTTGTACGTTTAGAAATATTTGAATAATGCAAATGACATATATTTGCCCTAGAGTAATTTGAAAAACTAAAAAAAATGGTCATCTGAGCATAAAATGGCTGTTACAAGATGTTACAAAATGTTTTTCCTTTGATAATTATTTAAATAAATGAAACTGTCACTGGATGATAGCATGAAAATAATACCGTAGCGGCATATCGCTATAACATGGGTAAATTCAAATTACGAGCATAGTCCCATATAGGGTATAATCCTATATTAATTCCACTTACCTTATATTGATTTATTTTCAAACTGAATTTAAAATATAAAAAGTGCTTTGAATCAATTAATTTTTTAAATTTCATTCGTTTTGAAGTCATATAATGATCAATGGCCCATTTACGTTACATTTCTCCATAATTATATTCAGTTAGCTTATTTTCCTACAAATTATTGCTGTATTCATTTGCAAATTACTAGTTCAATTACCGAGAAGCGATTAAAAAATTGTTATGTCAATATTAATTTTTGTTCTGTATTCATTAGAAATTCAATTTTATTTTCCCTGGATAATAACGAAAAAGATGTCTTTCATTTAGATGATTTATAGATAATTTAAAGGCATACATTGCAAAGAAGTGCACATTTTAAGGTATAACCAACTTATACGAAAAATTTCGTGTTTACTTACAACATTTTAGACAAAACTTATTTGCAATAAATTATAGAAATGGTGTTCAAAGACTCAACAGAGTGAAGCAGGAAATTATTTCCAAGGACAGTAGTTCGTCTACAAGAATAAGCAATTTCACATTCAAGTGCCGTATTCCTAACTACGACCATCTTATTGATTGGAAAAGAAGGACTTATGAAATGCAAAATAATATTTTAAATATATAATTAACTGTTTTTATTTTTTTAAATTATATTTAACCATGATAATTTCTATGCTTAAGTTATGATATTAAATATATATTGATATTAAATAAAAAACTACAAATATGTAAAAAAAATTATAAAAATTTTACTATTTTTTTGGAAAGTAAATTGAATTAAAATTTGTCTCTTTTTGCAATCAAGAACCTGGTCACTACAATAAAGTTAGGAATTAAACAAAATTTATTTCGCAAATGACTATATTGTTTTATGATACCTGCTGTATCGTTCAATAAAAATATATTTCTGCATTTTTTGTGATTAATGCAATAATAAATGAATAACTCGACAATACATAATCAATAACGATAATTAATTAATGTATTCATCGCTAATAAATGATTATATGACATTTTAATTGTCATGGAACAATACTTAAAACGATCAGCGCTTTATTATTGCATGATTTGAAGAAGTTTAAGACAAATTTGATGACATTCAGGTTAAAACGTAAAGCTTATGGAAGTAAAGGACGATTGACGGTATATGCCTGCATATACAGTAAGCTGTCCGATTCTTCTTATTTAACACGCAAAATGAACGATTTTATAGATTTTGAGAATTAATATATAGGATACGGATGCTCGCGCCCGCGCGAGATATTTCTAGAAAGCAGCTTTAAGCCTCACTGACAATACATCGCTTTTCGTATATGACAGATAATATGCTAAATTCACATTAAAATATTTCTCACTTTCGGAATAAGCGTCTTGTGCGACAAGTGTCATAAGGCTATTATTGATACATGAATATTAGATAAAATTTCCATTTATTACATGATCAAGAGTATGCACGCATGTATATTTATGAATTTTATTTGTATTAATTTTCTTTCAGGATAAATGAATGATAAAAAGAAATTAATTATCTTTTTACGTATGAATATTAATTCATTTTTGAGCCAAATCAATGTCATTTTATCTATTGCGTCTTTTAGTAGCTACATTTTCTGAATGTATTATTATTTTATATATCTGACATATATTTCCATATTTTATATTATACTTACAAAGATATATCTGAATTACTTTGATTAGACGTATTGTAAAATTCTCCAAAGTTGGAGAAAACAAATACTCTACCTACAATTTCCTGTACTGAAAATGCAAAAGAAAGTTCTTAAAAATATAAATTTTATGAAAATTTAAATGAAACTAAATATTTCACCATTATATTTTTATAAAATTTGCTAATGTTTCATATAAAACAATAAATAGGCTTTACTCGCAAGTTAAAGTGAATTAAAAATTATTTATACGTATTTTTGAAACGACGGAAAATTATAATATTAATGAGTATTTGATGTCTTATCGCGTTTATTTGTAGATATATTAGATTATTTACACGCGAAAGATGATTAGCAGTATTCTAATAATGAGTAGTCCCTTGACAACCTGGCGCATTGATGATCTGTTACAAACATTTGTTTGAAACGGCAGATCATTTATTATTTATTCTAGAGGGCAGGGTTTATATATATATGTATGTGTATATATATATATATATATATATATATATATATATATATATGCGTTTTATGGCTATGAGCGTATGATTTGTTAATGTTTGCTCCTTAATATTCGAAAAATTTTTAAAATCTCTTAATTTAAAGTTGACTGTTTATTTTCACAGACACTGAATCCTTAAGAACCTTCTTATTATTTGCGATACAAAAGACTGTCCATGTTACGTAAAGTATTTAAGTATTTTCATATCTCATGAAATTATTTTTCTTGTTTATCATTCTTTCAGTTCTTTATCGTAAAGTTAGACTTTTTTTAAATAATGTTTCAGAACAATTATCAACTTAAATTCAATTATAATTATAAATGATGTTCTATTTGATCGCTTTAGATTTTTTTATGAATTTGTGCCTAGAGAACTAATCTCTTTAACGATATTTCTTTTAATTTGGATTTAGAAATATGATTTTCTTTAATTGAATTAAATAATATGAAATCAAGCATTTTGTTCAAAATTCTTTCTTCGCTAAAGAATATTATATCCATGCCAGTAAATATTCATTTACGTATTGCAATATGAATTATAGTACAATCTCGATTTAAATTAGTGCGCTGCATTTCTGACTCAATAGATACACTGACAAGCTTATGTTCAATTTCATTGTACAACTTCCAATTCAAGTCCGAACTCATTATGAACAACCTGTCTCTCTAATAATGAATAAAAATATTGCTTTTTAAATTTTTACATGCTTCTTGATCGCATACTTTTTTATGAAAATGTTGAAAAGATTTAAAAAGTAACACTAGAAATACTAATAACGTTTACTTAAATTCTCTTGAATGTTTTAAAAGCAAATGAAATAGCTAAAATTTTTAATACTAATACTGTTTGATAACGAGCTCGTGGTTGCTATAGCCAGTATCTTAGAAAAATTTTTATGCTACGCAGTATTTACTCTTCTACTGCATTTTTAATACTTTCACTGTTGTTCTCGGTTTCTTCTTTTAATTCGTGTTCCTTTTGTGCCCTAAGTTCTGCGTCTGTTGGAACAAAGAAATAATTTTGAGAAGATAAGTTTTTATTGATAATTTCGATTGAATTAAAATCAAGAGAGATAAAATAGTATATTATTATTTTTCAATGTAAAATTAAAATTACATCAAAATTTTACCTTTGACAGCCTGCTCCTTCCAGCTTCTTTTATTTTCTGCTAAACACGTTGTCCATGGCTTTACAATTTCGAAAAGTTTCTCCGTCGATGCTAAAAAAACGATTCTATTACTTTCTTATATCGATAATTGTATTTTATAATTAAGTAATAAGTAAAATATGAAAAAAAAACAGTTTTTATTTAATTATTTTTTTCTTACATGTATTTGATTCATCAACGCTTTCCTTCGGATTGATGGGTGGAAGAATCGTTTCGAGCATGTCACTACAAACTTGCATGCTGGGTTCCACAATGAACTCAATGAATCCTATTTGTGATTCAGCTACCAATGTATTATTACGATCACAAAGTGGGGAGAAAGGTAGGCCTAGTTCTCTCTCCTTGTCACCTTGACGGAAAAATTCTTCTAGCAACTGCATAGTCCATCTGTTAATTATGTTTTAAGAGAAAACTTAATGAAAAATATTGAAGAAAATTTTAAAAAATATTATGGAGGCTGTTCTATAACATGGTATGGTTCAAAAGTGATGCTGAGTATTCTGGTCGCCAAAAAAAGACGTCTACTCAGGAAATAATAATGAATAAGGTTCATAATATTGTACTGACCAATTATCGATTGAAAATTAGTTGATTGTTTTTATATCTCTTATATTCTTGTTATTATATGTTACAAAACTTATAATAACGGACACGTAGTGAAAAAAATTGCAAAAATCTTATTTAAATTAATATCTCATCAAAGAAGCAATATTACTAGCAATATTATGCAACACGATTTTACACTTTAAATAAAATCGAATAAGAGCAGTGATATAACTGAAAAAGTTTCACGAAACAAATTTATTTTCATTTTTTACACGATACCGTAAGATGTATTATAATGAATTTTTTGGCATCATATTATTATGCCGTCAATTTTATCATCATGGGAACTGTAGGTAAACTTTTCGTTACTCATAGTCTACGACATAAGAACTTTGATTATCCAAAACACAAACAATTAGAGGCACATTGAACTATAATTGACTATATATCGTTTTAGATTTCATTATAAAATCTTACATCAATGCATTTGAAGTTCGATTGCAGTTCTTACTTTTATATTTAAAACATTTTAAATAGTTTATATTAATGCTTTAACAAATTCGAAAAATGAATATTATTTTTTCAAAGATAATCTTTGCTTATAGATTTCGTAAATGGCGGATTTCTTATAACACATTTGTATCTTGCACACAGAAGGATAAGCTTACCGATGATGAAGGTCCCATCGTTTGGCAGGGTGTGAAATATCACAACAGTGAAGTACAAGACTGACAGCTTTGCTTTTGTCAACAGTTGGCTCAGCAAGTGTCAGTAAATTCTTCATGTTCTTCAGCTGTTGAAAATGAAAGCTCATATCGGTCGCCAAGACCATATCGATCACTAATGTTCTGAACTCGCGGAACTCTTCTCTTGAAAGATTTAGTAGAATATTGCACTCGTCATCACGAAGTAAACTGTAATTAGTAAACACAAAAAGTTATGTGCGCGCGCATGTGTGTGTGTGTGTGTGACTAGTATACAGATCAAAATTAATTTTATGAACTAACGTTAATGATACTGTTGAAATTTTATATTTATTGATTAAACACAAATAACAAATAAATATTAGTAATAATTTTTTGAACAAATAAAGTTAATAAAGAGTATGTTTAAGATTAATGTATAATAAAGACACGCAAACGTCAATCAATTGACCAATTACGCAATATAATATTCTTGATGATATTGAATTGAAATAAAAGTGTCATCATAAAATTATTAGTAAACCATTAGAGAGAAAAGCAAAGTTAAACGAGTAGAAATGACGTATATATAAGTGAATGGGTATATAGGTGGATGTGTATATTCTAATGACTAATATACATACCGGAAACTGGCAGAAATGTGATGGTTTTCTAGCACGGCTCGATCGTTGTACAGTAGAGCCGTCTCACTTCCGGACATAACATGGAAATTATTCGTCGTACCCGTATGCTCGAAATCGTGAATTAGGGCAGCCACGAGGGTCGCAAAGACCTCCAGATCCGTTAGCCAATTCTGCGTCACAAATATTTATTTAGTATGTCTATCCGTCGTCATAGTCGTCACATCGTCATCGGTCGAGATAAAGATTTTATTTCGACTCGTCAACATTTTTCGTAGGTTATTTTAAATCATTTTTTATGAAAAAGCGTTGCTGTATACTCTGTTTGTATCGACTAAAGGCTTGTACAGATGTTTAATTTGAGTTGTTTAGTAAAAAGACCTCGAAAAAAGAAAAAATGAACTCGTTATTGCCGAGTAACTTTTTCTAACCCGTTTCCGTCATCTAGTACATATAAATTATCAAATATATGTGTTTATATAACCCGAACTATCAACAGAGACTGTTTATTTATCTTTTCAATTACATTCGTTCGATATAACTTACTATCGGTTAAAAAATGATAGGCCTCTTACTTTAAAGAGCGTGTAGCTCTACAAAAAAATTGCATAATGATATAAAAAATATAACGTTAAAGTTTTTCGTTTTGAGCGTCAATTGGTTTGTCAGCGGTCGGTCCAGCTTAATCAGCTAAGTTGTACCAGCGATCAAAAGGAAAAACAACGCGGAATCTTGAGCTACTTTTTACGAGGTCAACTTCAGAGACCTGCCGTTTTATCAAAAATGAACGGAACATCGCAAAAAAAATTCAGCGTCTAGTTTGAAGCTTTCTCAATGCAACTGCTTAATAATTTTGAAAAAATAAATTAGCTTGTTTATAAAGTACAATTTAAAAAAAAATCATCTTTTCAATGGCTTATTTGATTGATGTCGGACTTGATAAAAATGATTAAGTAATGATTAAACATTATAATTTTCAATGATTTTGTGGGGTCGCAGACTTTCCAAAGTCTGCACCGCACATGCTTGCCAGGCGCGCAGTTGAATTTTCCTCAAGCCTTGGAGATTTTTTATTTTTTCATTTTTTGTAAAAATCTATAAAAAATTGAACGGATTCTGACATGAAAAGGCCGTCAAGCAAACAGTGCACCGAGGCACGACTCGCTCATAAATCTCGGCTGACCCTTCAGATCGGGCCTAACTTTATACACCCACGTGCGCGCTTTCCATAGTTTTCCTCTTTTCCCTCTCCTCGCGGGCTAGGACACAAACTATCCCTTGAAGAGGAAAAAGAGGAGTTGAGCTGCAAGGGTGCATCCTCGCAATTGGCAGATCGTCACAACGACTCGGCAAGTTAACGTCGTCGTCAGTTCTCGTAACAACGAACATTTTTATAACACGCGTCGGTCCAAAGAACAGTAGTGTACTTCCAACACGCACATCAGCATTGTAATTAAAACCGTTATACTTAATAATATTAATTACCTCAGTGTATTTAACCTATTCACGCCCGCAATCCCACAATTTTATGAATAAATTTTTTAAACATTTAGATGCCAATCTGCTAAAGTTTTCAACTAATTTCAATAGAAGCCGTGCTTTGTATGTCTGAGTTGTTATAATATAAACACAAAATAAGCTCCAGCTCGAGTGCAACGCGATACCAACAGTAGCTTATCTCTTTCGATAACAATCATTCGAAATACTTTTTTGAAGAAATAGTATGATGCGAATGCAGTTACGTGTACGACATTTAAAAAAGTAATTTTTCGTTAAGCAATTATTATAATGTAAATTTAACGCTATTTGTTCCATATCATTGTGCAATTTTTTTTGCAGAACTACACGCTCGGAAAATAAGAGGCCTATCATTTTTTAACCGATAGTAGGTATGGGCTCAATCTAGCTGCCATTGGAACTTTTGTTGTGGGTTAGCGATGAAAAGTGGTAATAATACGCAGAGGCACACACACAAGAAAAGAGCATAGAACACATGACGGACGCATACGTAACGCGCGCCTACTACTCAACTACGCACACAAAGCCAAGCCAAATAAGGGTCATCCGAGAAGAGAGTTGCACCAGCTGCCACTGCGAGCTTATTCAGGTTACACGGGGATGCGTCCTTATTAAAGTTTCCGGTTTACGCTCAAAGCTCCAAATTATCAGTGCAACTGCGAATATTGGCAGCTCAGTATCGGTGCGAGCCACAATCACCTGTGCTATTAATGCACTGAGTTTCATCGGACACTGATTCTGTCGCTGTTGCACTGGCACCGGAGAACCTCTATCACTGCATACTTGCACGGATCTTTGACGCAGCGGGCTCGCGGCTGTAAATAAGAGCTATTGTCATGGTTACTGCACGTGTATAAGCCGAACAATGCACCCTCTCTCTCTCTCTTTCTCTCTTGGCCTCTCTATTTCCTACTCGCAAAGCTCTTGCTTTTGTTCATATTGTCACAATTAGCCAAGTGAGCTCAACTATGATCTTTTATTATTAATACAATGACAGAACCGTTTGCACAAGCAGATAACAAGATCGTATAGTGTAGCTTACTCTGAATTCTGTAATCAGTCTCTAATCGCTATATGATCTTAAGGAGTCGGAGCATTAATTATTTATCTTGTAAAGGGTGTAGTTCACTAGAATGGTTTGAGGGTCACAAATCAAATCGAACATTTTTTTATTCGAAAATGATTGAAAATGTATTCTGCATAAATTTATTCAATCCCACAGCGTACAAGGAGAAGGTTGAACTTCATAAAATAGCGACAATACCCAATCCACCCCCCCCCCCCCCGTTATAATATAAGTTGGTTGTCCGCAATTAATTGACGAATAAATACATTTTCCGAAGGCTCGCGATCACATTGAGCCCATAGAACGACGCCCGCATTTTCGCTACAGCTGATTTTTCTCGATTCGCTCTCTCTCTCTCTCTCTCTCGCTTTCTTATTTGCCAACCTAACGGTACATGGGTCGCTAAAATGATTACTCATTCCGTCATCTCTCTCGCGAGGTCGATTAACCTTCAAAAGTTAAACCTCTTGATGTTGAAAAAAACATCACAACCGCGACACAGTGCGCTTATGCATGTCTATGAATCAAACTTCCAAACGCGAGAGGCATAACCGACATATCTCAAGTTTGAGTAAGCCGCTCGTCGTTTTTTAAACGCCTATAACCTATTTATAAATATTTTAAAGATCCCAATGTACACGCTCTACAACTTAACACATACAATAATCTGACAAACTTATTAATGATTTTCTCGACTTCGAGAATCGCTGCCTAATTTAAGTTCTGAACACGCCCTAAAATAAACGAACATAAGGACGGGAAAACAAGAGGCTCACATTTATGACATCACGCGGGTCATAACGCAATTTTGTCGACGGCGGGCCCTAGTTTCTCGAACGGTCTGTCCCGTCACGCTTACTCGTTTCGTCTCCGGGTTTTCCATAATTGTTTTGCGGCACACGTGTCTCGCGAACCGACGTTTCTTTTACGACCGACTACATGCGTTGGTTTCCCCTTTTTAGTTTTTCTCGTTTTCAACAAATCTAAAAGTATTGCATTAAATTATTATTTGAACCACTTAAATATATAGCTTATAATTTTCCAAACAAAAATGCAAATAATGAAAAAAGTATTATCATACATTAAAATTAATTTCTACTGTGTTATTACAATTTTCGATTGACCCTAAAAGCCCTTAATAAAGGGTTTTTTTCCGTTATAGAATGATTTTTTATAAGGTTTTCGTATAATCTTTTTTGCAAGTCAAATTTAATTAATGATTAAAGAATACAGTGTTAATATAAACATCGTATACGAACAATGCAACGATAAAAACGCCTGTGGATGAATAAGAAAAGTTGTGCTTATAGTTGTGCATATGGCGAAAGAAAAAAAAACTCACCATTAAGCCGATACGGCAGAGAATATAGTGCATTGTTTGAGCGACGTCAGCCGCGTGCAGATTATTGTGATAGGGATTGCGATGCCTGCAGTAGCCCTCCTCGACCCTGACGAGGAAACTCTCCAGCACAGCTGGCGGCACTTTGAACTTATGGATCATGCCGTAACGATTGAGCAGGTCATAGCCCAAGTACTTGACAGGCATGCCCTGCGCGGCCTCGTTCAGAGAAAACACGTCGAATGACCATTCGTCCAGAGTCTGCAATTTCATAATCATCAGAACTTCTTTCCTCATTTTACCTCGACCCGCAACTACAATTTTCCACTTTGCCGAGCGTCAGCACTTTTATCGCGCTTCTGTTGATACCTCATACCAAAGCCTCCACTCCCTCTCTTTTCGATTTGTAAAATCTAGTTGTTAACTCATGCATAATCTCAATTTACGATTTAATTTCAGTAAAACTCTATTTAGAAATTCAGCATTGTTTCAAATATGTGTCTTTTATAAAGATGTTCGTGTTTATATTGTATTCTCTACACAATTATCATGTACATTGTATTGAAACAGTTATTACTGTTTTGCATGCACATCAGTAAAATATGAAAACTTGATGTGTACTTATATTTATATAGTAGAAAAAATAGTTTATATAAAAAAAGCAAATGAGATTCTCGACATCACTGAAATATGTAAGGGTACAATTTGAGCCGCGGCAGCCTTCATATGAGAACGAGCGAGTATAAATTTACTACCGAGATGATATAAAAGAGTACAGGAGCAGCAGACGGAAGCAAACGAGCGTAACGTAATAGCTAAAATCATAAAAGTTCTCTATCTTCATTGAGAGGATAGAAAACTGATATCGCCGGCGGAAATGCGTACCTTGAGCACCTTGACGACTTCCGGTGGAAACTGCAAAAAGGAGGTGTTAGCCATCCGCCTGTAAATGCGGTCAACGAAAATGCCCGCTCGGATGGCGTGGGCGACCGAGCGGAATTTCGGCTTTTCGTCGGCACGTCGTCTCGTCGTAGCCAATTGGCGTGTGAACGTCGAGGCAAGCCACTCGCGCACTTCGGGTGGCACCGCGTCTGGCTGCACTTCCGATAGCTCGTCATCCTCGTCGGCCAGTCGTCTGTGGGTGAGAAATCGACGACATCTCGATATAGTAAGCTCGTCTAATTGTGAACCCCCCATTCGCCATTGTTTACGCTAGTAATCACTGGTTCATTGTGTTATTTTTCTCTCTTTTTAAATATTTTTTTCGAGTGTACACCGACATTTCTCTAGCTTATCTTTCTCACATACGTAACTTTCTCACTAACCAACTTACAGTCAGTTTGGAGGTAGCGTGAATAGCAATCTTCTAGCAAGCAAATTAGCCGAGTGCATATGTAAATCGAGAGCTTAGCTTCATTGTTAATGTTACAAGGAATAGTAGCTTATCTTACTGTTTATTTGTATTTTAGACGGTTTGGCGTTTTAGTATTTGTTCTCGATTTATCATTTGACCTTTCAATAATGTCTAGAGTATTAGGTTTTCAGCTAAAACGCTTGAAAAAAGTATTCTTTACATTCACATTGTTCTATGCACTTCGACACGATATCACTTTATCGTGTTTTTACTCTTTGGTTTGAACCATACGATATGACGGTGCAAGAATAAATACATTCGTAATATGTATGGCGTTGTATTTTTTCCACTGTGTAACTACGTCAAGTTAAACTTGAACATAATCACATTAAACAGTCAATCTTGCTAAAGTACGAACTAGTCAGATTAATATTTTTAGTAAATTAAGACAAGTAATGATTGATGTATCGTGTTGTCATAGTTTCACGAATTAACATACAAGGTATAGAGAGTACACAAAATAAAGTTATAACCTATTAAAAGATGTAGCATGCTTTACTAATAAATTATTATTATACTATATTTAGAAAACACTAATACAGTTAGGAAATAGGAAAAGAACGTATACAACTGTACTTTTATTGTTTCAACTGACAAAGAACGATAATCACATAAATATACATAATTTTTTTTACAAAACCGATATTTACAAAAGATTAAAATGTTTCTTTTTAATGTTTTAAAATATTTCTATAAAAGCAATCCACTGAGGGCCAAAGATTATTTGTAATACTAAAAACTTAAGATGTTAATTTTCAATGTTCGCTTTCGGTAGATTTACTAAGTTAGTTAGGCTATGTATTAAAGAAAAAACAATAACATAAAAATGTAATTTAATTATGTACATGTACAACTTGTTGAAAATAGGTGTTTATATTTTGAAACAAAAATTCTTACCAAATAAACATTTATAAATACTGAATGTTCCGAAATCTGTTGACAAAATCTGTTGAAGGCGACTGTAGCATTAGTACAACCTTCTCTGACAAAGAAAAACATCCGACTAAACTCATTAAATCGAATCAAGAGCACACGTTTACAGATGTCAGGAGCATTAGCCAACTATTTTACTATAATGAGCGTCGAAGCTAAGACTATACTAAAGATTGAATCTACTTTTTCTTATAAATATTTATGTAAGGCAGTTGCATTATATGCGACTCAAATCTTTGATATTTTTTTGTTCATTAAGGATTTTCACCATCGCTTGTAAGAATATATATTGTTTTTGATATTTTTCTTTCGTCCAAAATTTTATTCAACTAATATTTTTTTATAAATTATTATTATTATTATTATTATTATTATTATTATTATATTTAACCAAAATTGAAATTACAATTTATACTTTTATGTTTGAACACTATCAAGTCAGATTCTCTATAATCTTTACGCTCTTTTCTTTTAAAAATATTCTTCTAATTTAATCTATGTAAACTTTTTACTGTAATTATTACAACCCGAAAATCGATAGACAATATTGGGTGTTTCTTTAAGAGTGCATTTATTTTTACTTAATTTAATGGTAGATTCTATTAAGTCAGGAATACACCTACGACGTACACCTATTATACAATGACAAACCGTTCGGAATTAGTAAGTTAAGTTGTTACTTATACAAATACTCCTCAGCCGTAAGCGGATTGCTTTTATAACGATATATGTATAAACACCAATGGGTGCATCCATCTCGACATTCAAATTTTTAACATATATGTATTATCACGTTATAATATAAATATAATGTGATTCAAATAACACACACAACATTTTGGTTACATGAAAATTAGTTAATAATCATGAATAACCATTGAAATGCAATCATGCACATGTAAAACATTTAAAATTGAAATGACCAGTATGTAGGAATATACTGGAATTGTGACCATAGAGATACTCTGAATACAAACCACGACGTATTTTGTAATTTTTTTAATGAAGTATTATCATGTAGATATAATATCTGTCATCCTCCACTTCAGTTACAATTAATTGTCATAATGAATCACATTTTTGAAATATTTTCGGTGTGTCTCCTTAATGAACCAATTGTCAAGGCAAATAAAGCATGGAAAAAACGAAAGTGTTATAAGTTTGTACAGTTTTCCTATTTTATCGAGTAAAAATATTAAATTAATAAAGAAACACAAAAACAAAACAAAAATTTGTTAATAACAAAAAGAAAAGAAGAGTCATAAAGACTGTGAAAGATAGAGATAGAAACAGAGATAGAGATTTCAATTCCAGTAATGAACAAACCTACGACGTACGCCTTGCTGCCCACTGGCTTCCCTCTCCATACGTTCTGCATCTCTATAAAGTAAAACAGCAAGAAAAGATAACGACAACCATAACATTGAACGTAAACACGCGCGTAATTGTGTTGGAACAATGTTTTTTGATCCATTTTTTTATAATGCGTTTATTTTATTATAATGTTTATCATCTTTCTTTTGATTCTTTTGATTAATAATACATACATGTTTTTCAACGCCACAAAATAATTTGGTTATTTCAACATTTTATTTAAAATAATAATATTTTTTGAACACAAAGTAAGTACAATCATTTTTATCGATCTTTAGCGATAACAGTTTAATCGAAAAACTTCGTTAAATTCTTTTAATATTCAAAACATATTTGTCATAATTTTTTAAGTCAACCAATTTTTATGGCACTAAATAACTTTTTTTTGTGTATAATTTTACAAAAATAAATACAACAGTATTTACAAGAAATAATTTTCCATTCAATGAGCGTGGGAATGAATCAAATACCAATTGATAGCAAGGAGAGAATGACTGATCTATTCTAATCGCGTGTGTTAAAGTCGTTATTACTAACAGGAACAGATTATGTTAAGCTAATTTCTTCTAAATAGTCATATCCCAACGCACAAGGGTTCGATAGTGCATGATAACTCAATACAGGTAAGAAGTAGTAAGTCACCTCAGACATTAATTAACGTGCAGGTATTCGAAATTTCGTTGGATGTCGCAACTGTGTACGTATGTAACCATGAGAAATTTGATGGGAAAGGTGTATTTTTAACCCTTTCAGTCACGTTATTCGTACGGTAATTTGATCATCACCGTAACCTACTATCTTAAGGTTTTTACGATAATTACGAAAAGTTAGACTTTGCAAATTTAAAATGGCGGATCCAACATGGTCGATGGAAAATCTTTTCTTTTTTTTTAATTAACAGTTTAAAATCACATCCACCAAATAGGTAATTAGCAACTACATAAATAACTGGACTATACTTAAGAATATTTTACATACATAATTGATATACATAATTGAGTCAAAAAAAAGAACAAAAAGAAAATAATAAAGGAAAGTAACAAAATTAAATTAAATTGATAAACTCAATTTTTCTTAGAAATTCTAGTACATTATAATAAGATTCCTCCGTTGTGAAATAATTCGAGTATTTAGTTGGAAAGTTGCATTTTATTTCGTCAGATAGTTCCGACCACTCGAATAGAAGATGTTTTACCGAAACTGTCACCGCATTTTTTACAATTATTCGAGGTATCTTTCGTGATTAGGTTGATACCGGTTAAGTTGGTATGACCGATTTTTAGTCTTGTTAGTCAAATACCTTGTTTTTTGCGTGTGGTATCCGAATTGGACAGATTATAAAAATTAAATACGAAATCATGAATTTTCAAGGATGAGTTATTCTTACAAAGTTCGTTCGAATATTCATTTATGGCAGACAGTAGTTCTTTCTTTTTCTCTATGTGAGGATAACGTTTACTTTCCATGTCGTTAGACATAGCTGCTGCTCTCTTGGCGGTTTGATAAACTATTTCGTTTTCGTTAATTCCATAGTGTGAAGGTATCCATGCTATAATAATACTATTGATATGATTCTTGTGTTTTAGATCTAGGATTTTAATAATGATTGATCTGATTAAAGTATTTTTAGAGTTCAAATTTTTCAGCGCTATTAATATACTTTTTGAGTCGGTGAAAATGATGTATTTTTTCTTATCCGTTAGTGCGATTGAGTTGATAGCTTTATTCACAGCGTGAACTTCAGTTGAGAAAACTGATAATGAATTCAATAATTTATATTTTCGAATTTCATTGTTAATTAGTGTAGCACAATCGGTTCCATTTGAAAATTTTGAGCTATTTGTGAATATAGATGTATAATTACTATAGTTAGACTTGATATTGATGAATATTTGTTGTGCAGTGGCTACATTCATTTCAGTGCTTTTGAGGTAAGACAGGTTCAATAGATTTGTTCAAGTTTTTGAGGTATAATTTCACTCTGGAATCAATTGGTATGTGCGCCTTGAATGTTGAGTAATCGATGCTGCTATTTTTGAACATTAATTTAAATACAGGGATCTCTGGAGTCGCAGCAATAGAAATCGCGTAATTCAGGGTGGTTTGCATGCGTTTTATATGAAGAGATGGAAGTTTCGTTTTACTTAAAACCGTTAATACTGGACTAGCTTTGAGTGCTCTTGTTATGATTCTTACCGCCGTATTTTGGACGAGTTTTAATGTTGTGATTAACGATTTGCGCCCTAAATTGTAGGCTATTGATCCATAGTTCAGCTTAGTCCTGCTGAGACTTTTGTACGAGTTGTTTAGAATTTATAAGTCGGCTTCCCAATTTTTTGACGAAATGCTTTTAAGTTCACTAATTGTAAGTCTTCGGATACATTCGTTTTTTAGACTTTCTTTAGACAGTCTTAGAATTATAACCGTATCAACGATTTCTATGGTTGTGCTGTCTATATTGATTTGAAATTCTTCTAGGCCTGGTACTGTTTTAGAAAAAATAATTAAAACAGTTTTTGAAAAGCGGAATTCAGTTCTTTTATTGAGATTTTCAAGTTGGTTAATTGTTTTTCGGAGCAGTTGAGCAGTAGTTTGTAAATTATTACCTGCGACGAGGACTATACAAGCGTCAGCAAAACATGAATTTTTTACAGGTTTTTGTATGCAATTCTTGATTACATTAGTTGGTATTGAAAACAATGTAATACTAATAGCTGAGCCCTGGGGAACACCGTTTTTTATTTCGAGGCAGTCAGATAACGTACTGTTTATTTTTACTCTAATATATCTCTTCTTCAAAAAGTTGGTGACGAATTTGATTATGTTATCGCCGATTTTGTTTTCAACCATTAGCTCGATCACTATTCTATTCCATATCATGACGTAGGCCTTTTTCACATCTATACACAAAGCTGCCAAATGCTGTTTGTTAAGGAAGATTTCGCAGGTATTTGACTCAAGAGTCACTAACACATCGTCGATAGATCTGCAGTGTCTGAAGTCACGTTGATTTGGTGAAATTAGACCGTTTTCTTTAAGATGTTATCTTAGCTGTTTATTCAATATTTTTGTAATATTTTTAGACTAGGAAAGACTGTTGCTTCGAGCCAGCCTTTGAGGAACGAATTTTTGATCAAAATCAAGTTATAGATTTTAGTTAAATATTTAAGGGTCACTAAAAGAAATTGTTTGATGAACGCATTTGATGTTTTTTCAAGGCCTCGACTGGAATTTTTACAATTCTTTAGCACATCTCGTAATTCCTGTAATCCTATATTGCTGTTTAGGTTTGCTGAATTCGCTGATAATTCAATATTTTCAAGATTGATTTCCTTCTGTTCTTCCTCTTTTTTGAATTGTAAAAACTCGAAGTTGAAATTTGCATTACTTAAGTTTTTGATGAATGTCAGAACTAGAAGGTTTGCCATTTAGGATCTGGGTTTGGCGTAAGGAGAGATAATGGATGATAGGTGCGATCGTTGAAAATAAGTATTAAAACACACTGGTACGGTATAAATATTATTGTGAGCAATAATCTGTGAGTACTATAATTTTTCTCCAGTTCTTTCTTTCACTTATGGCATTTATTTTTTTCCAAATATCTTCGGTTGACGAGTAATTTGTAAGATTGGATATAAACTCGATCAAGGTTGTTCGTTTGGCCGATTTATTCGTTTTCTACCACATAGCTTTTTTCATTTTGTATTCTGCTTGATTGTTAACTGTCGTGTGTTTTTTAAACCTGTTTGTTACTACGCAGTTAATCGCCTGCGATTATATAAAACTTAATTTATATAATATGGTGTTCAATGATGGTACACAATAAGTATTAAATATAAACCTTTATTATTCAAATGTACACATTAGCTTAGGACCGAACTCGTCGATGGCTCTCAGCTAACTAAACTGACTATATGGTCGCTGGTAGCTATTTATTTTCTTGAAACCCGAAAATCGAGAGCGAAAACTCAAAATAAGTATCAACCCGACTAACTTATCGAACAAGATCTAAAGGAACGAAAGAAAATAATGTTCACTCAAATGAGCATAGCCTGCCGGCCTCATGAGAAACACATGTGACTAAGGTCATAAAATCTGCGTACAATTCGAAATGCGACCGGGGAAAACGGCTATTTTCATGTGGACTGCACCTTTCGAACACGCGTTGACGCTTGTTTCGAATCACGTTCCGAGTAATACTTAAATATTATACAAACACAAATTATAAACATAGAACTATATTAAAACTAATAATACAACGACGTGAATAAATGACATTAAAATTATTAACATTGTACACTGTTAAAAGCACGTTTGGATTCTTTTACCGCCTCGGCTCAATCATTCCACCACTGCATGTATTTAACTTCGATTGTTACGGATGTATTTTGAAATATGCTCTCACAGAATTTTTAGACAAAGACATTGCGCTTAGATCATTTCATTACGCCGCGGACTGTTTTGCTAATCGATACGCGCGTGCGATATCGAACTCGAAATCAAGATCGAGTGACCAAGCTAGCGGCATCGACACTCTCATTTCTAAAAGAATGTCTTATCTGCCGATATTTGTCGGTTGATCCCTTTGTTGTTAAATTCAATTACAGCCTCTTCGAAACTCGAAACTTAAGTAACACTACGAATATTGTTTACTTGAAATAAGTGTGTGAGAGAGGCGTGCGCCGCATCAAGTTGAGTTGCGATTTGGAATCAGATTTTACTATTTAACATTGCTACGATCACTGCCTCCAAATTCGCCAAAATGCATACATCGCTAAAAAAGATGGCAAATGCATTGTGACAATCAGATTGGTTGAAAGGTTACCTTTCAAAGCTGATTGCCGACGACGGACATTGAGCGTCCGTCACCCCGTTGTTTGAGCCGAAAGCCGGCGATATCAAACAACGCAACACGAGCCACCAAAACACGGCACAATCTTTAGCGCACGGTCGGAATCATCACAGACTCCGACTCGAGCCAATCAGAGAAAGGAGCAGTTGATACG